ATTTTCCTAATTCTTATAACTAATTAATTTTAAAATTTATTCTTAAAATATATATTAAAAGTGTAAAATTTTAATTTGAAAAGCAGATAAACTGATTATATTTGTTTTTATTTAACAAACAAAAATAAAAAGAACTTTTCTGATTAACTTTTGCCATATATTTGTATTTGACCATATTTATACAATGTTTTTAGAAAAATATGAGCCCTTAATATTATTAAATTTTCCAGATTTTAGTTGGACCCTAGGTGTTAAGCCGACAATTTAAACAAGCCAATCACAATCAGAGACCGTAATTTTTTAACGCTTAAAATTAGCATCCCTTATATACTAACCAGAGGTGTTCAATTCTGTAAAACCAAACAATTTAAAACAAAAATGAACCAAAATATAGAAAGTGGTTGGAATTAGTAGTACATAATAAACCGAATAAATGTTAGTTTCAAGAAACTGTTGTATATGGATATAGTTCAGTATATAAACCAAGTCGTCTAACGAATCAGATATTGACTGTGTTCGAAAACGCGTCTGAGTTGACGAGTTCTCGGCCGGATAAACGCTAGACATGTGCTGACCGTTCTACTTGTTTTCATATTTATGTTATAACCAAACCAAAAAAAGAAGATGAAACATCGTGTTTGAATGGTGGCTAGGGTTGTAGATAAATCTAACAAAGAAATGAAGGTAGACATGTAATTTTGCAGTTAATGAATTAAATGTTGAAAAATACAAGAAAAGGTGAAAACGGGGTTTTGAAACCGGGTCTAGCGACCAAAAAACTAAGTTTCTAACCACTAGGACAAGTCAACATATTAGTAACTCCTACCAATTTAAATATCTATTAGTAAAATATATTATAATTAATCTCCGATTAATTCCTGATTAATCTCGATTTTTTGATAACTCGTTAGGCTCGGAATAGACACTCGACTAGCGCCTAGCGTAATTTTGAACATGGGATATTGATATGTGAAAATTTTAAAATAAATAAATAAAAACAACTGAAAATACATAAAAGCAAAACATGTTTCATAATTAAAATTAAAATTTTCAAAGTACTAACTTTTTATAACTTCCTCATCACACAAATGAAGTATCAATTGCTGTAAAAGTTCTGTTCGCAAGATTTATGTTAAGATAATGAGTCGTTATAATCCATTAGCTTTCAGAGGTTTAACGTACCCAGCAGTGCAAGTTGGAGTAAAGATTTTTAGTCTTTATTTTATAATTTTACTAGTGGACGGTCCGCGCTTCGCGCGAAATTGCGATTTTACTTTTTATTTTATATAAACGATGATTTTAATATATTTAAAGATTTGATTTATTTGTAGGTCTAAAACAATATGTTCTGAGATAATCTATAGCTATATAGAATAGTCGTGCTTGGGGTATTATGGTGGATTAGGTATTATGATTTTTCAGTTTGACTAATTTGGGTATTACGATTGTTTTGAATGTTAACCCATTTTTATTTTGTATCTATCTTACATAGACTTTAGAATTATGTTGATTTCTGAAATGTTATATGTGTTTTATGTTTGTTTTTTTTTTTTCTAAGAACCAAAGATTTTTAACTTTACGATTATTAGCTCGAAGTTCCATTTCGAGAATAAAATCTGACAATAAAATCTAATTTAGTTCTTACAATAAAATCTGACACATACTGCTTACAGTTCAGCTTGTTTGTAATAGAAACATGTCGCATCAATTTTTAATGTTGTTGTGGTGGGATGTAATTGTAGGCTTTGTATTCTTATAAATTGTCATGTAAGATTGTAGCCTCCTAACTCCAGCCTCACTAAGTGTCTATCAAGTTATTTCTCTACATTCTCTTTTACATACTCAACACTAAAGACCAAGCATGCGACTATGAATTTTGGTCCTTGTTTGGAAAACAATGGGTATTAAATGGTATTACTTATTTGATAATTGTATATAACTTATATCATAAATATATTGAATAAGAGAAGAACTTATTGCATTAATAATATATACAAACCTAAAAGCATGATTCATTGCTTCTTATACATACCCATGCAAGCAAAACTAATTAGTTAAATCAATGAATTGTAGATTCTACTGAAAAAAGGAAGACACCAATCGTAATCTAAAATTATAAAAACAAAGAGAAAGAGTGTGAGAATGAGTCACTTCTTCCTTTCTCTTATAGAAACCAAAACCACAGATTTGAGGTAGAGAAGGACAGAAGGAGAGAGATTGGCATTACCATGAATAAACAATGTGAGGAACACCCGAAATTTTTTTTCTCTTGGCGCTTACTTCACTCAGTTCCTTAAAGCAAATGAATAAGTGATTTTACCCCAAAAAAATGAATGTTAACTTGTTAAAAACTATGACGATGGTTTTACTTGAACTGAGGAAATATAAACACTTTTCATTGTTTGTTCTTCGTTAAATTTGCCTTACTCTGATGCAGATTGTTATCATATTTCCAATGTGTGTTTAAGTTTGCTGAAATCTATTTTGATTAAAGCATCGGATAACATCTTTTGAGTTTTCAAAATAAGATCTTGAAGCTGGTATTTGAGATGAAGACTAACAAAACTAAATAAAAGACCAATCCAGTAAAAACCCAAACTTTTTTAAGAAAACTGAAGTTTCGTGCAGCACTATCTTTTGTCAACACTGTAAGTCTGTAACTGTAAGAATTTGAATATTTGTTGATCAGTTTATCAAACAGAAGGCATAAGGCATAATATTACTACTCACCTGAGAAGTAAAAATATTTCATTAAATCCCATTGACATCGCAAACTACAACATAACATAGATTTGAATGATTTAACAATCTATAATTTTAGGAACCCAAAATCCTCACCCACTCAGACCATTCATCAATAGGAAAAACTATCAAAAGTTTATGAAACAATATGACTTGGCCCGTTCTCTATTTCCTTTTTGGAGGATGTACTCCATTGCACTTGTACCATTAATGCCCTCTTGCACATAGTTAGTTTATAACCAAACATTAATCCAATTTTTAGTATTCAAAGTTTTGAGATTTTATAGCTCTATCTTGAGTTATGTTTAGTTATCTAAGGGCTTATGCTGAATTGCAACTTTGGATTCTTTGACACAATGTTTTTGTTGTTGTTTATTGATCCACCATTTGGCCTCTTACTCGTGGTTTCACCTTTTTTATTCCTTACATTATCAATCAAAATTTCACAAACTTTCAAAGCTATTAGTGAAAAGAACCAATTCTTAGGTGAATACCTTTAGAGGTGTTTCCTCCTCTTCTTATGTGTCACCATCATCATCATCCGAATCCATCTATACCAAATTAAAAAAAAACATGCGTCACATTTCAGAAATCAGCATCAAGATTATAGCTTTCAACTAATTAAGTGAGTCAATGCTAATCACAACTCATTAAAAAAAAGTCAGATTCATCTTCTTCATATGACTCAGATTCACCAGCTTCATGGTTGGCCTTTTGATTATTCAGCCCATGGGCGTTTGATTTCTCCATTTCCAAATAACAATATCAATTTAGAAGTCGTAACAAAGCCACAAAACAAACTTAAACACAGTAAAGTAAGCCTACCATTTTGAAACCTATCAATGGTGACTTTCTCATCTTCTGAATCAAAATCTCGAAAAAGTTGAACACAAACAGTAGATACGCTTTCACCTTAATCTTCTTAGAGATGCCTTAGTATAATAATAATAGAGATAATAGAGAATTTTACCAAAAAAATAATAATAATAGAGATCTAGAAGAAAATATGAGCGGTGACATTCCTTTCAGCTCCATATATATAGTGTTTGAAGTGACTGAGGAAGCCAGGGGAGATGAAAGGATTTTGAAGTCATTGAATGCTAAGATTGAATGCCATCATAAACATAAAAAAAAAATCGCCAGAAAGTGGTGGCTCACCTTAATTTCGTCGGTTACAAAACAGTGAAAGAGGTGTAATTTGAGACGACAGAGACGAAGGCGGAAAGGAGAGGATGATGTGAGTGTAGTGTCTGTTTCCATGATTTACATGGGCCACATATCTAAACAAACAGAAGCAATTGATTGGACTGAGGGAAATACGACTAAACACTAAAGCCCAAATAAAAGAACAAAATGAGTACGAAAGAAGCTGATTTCGTTGAAAGTTTGTTGTTGCCACGTGGAATTTTTTGTCCCACCTTCTTTTGATGATGTGGACAGCTTAAGAAGGTACTAAACTCAACTTTATTTATAAAGATTTACGTCCAAAACTATTTTCTTTTAATCTTTTGGGCCGTTACACCTTTGAGAATTCTGATATTATTCTACAAAATAAGTACAAATTATACTCCATGTGTTTCAAAATTAGGTATTTTATATACTGCATTTCTTTTGATGACAGTGTTTTACCAATTTTGTTCCTTACTACAGTCAGAAGTTTATAGTCTTTCTTTTCTTTTACATTCCTAGTTAATTATAGTCTTTAAAATTCTTGTTCATTTTCTATAACCGTATGGGTCCGCACGAGTGCCCTAATACCAAAAAGACGTGTACCCAAAGGGCGAGTAAGTTTGATGCAATTATGTACAGCTGCAAAAGATGAAGTATTGAGAGTATTGTAGGATGTACAGAGAACTTTGTAGTGTTTTTTTTTTTTCTCTTGCTCCTTTGAGGTTTTGTTGTTGATGAATGACCAAATAAATTCTCTTACTTTTTCACTGATTCATTATTAGGATCTTAATCTCAACCTAACAAAACAACGAATGCAATGCCATAATAAAAAGTACTTCAAGAACTTGAACAATAACAAACACTATAGGTAAAATTAGCTATGATTGGTTACACAACTGATAAAAGCTGAACCTATTATTGAAGATATACAGCTTTTCATCGTGGATGTAAGACTTAAGAATCAATTCCAAACTACTTGTTTATATTTTGAGGTAGAATATAGTAAGCATTGTAAGAGAGTCAATACCAACAACACGATTTTTCATTTATAAACGAACCAATGCAATATCATCTCAAACTAGAGGTGTCAGATACTCTATCAAAAAGGATTAACAAATCTACATTTGTAAACGGATAAATTATACAAGAGAATCAGTAGTGTGATACCACAGAAGTCAGAAAGCACAACTCGAAAAACTGAACTACTTTGGTCCGATTCTAGATCGATTAATGAATTCGTTTAAACCGAAACAAAACTTGATGAAGAGTGAAAAAACCGGCGTGAATCACACAAGAAGCAGAGACATACAAAAAACCAGAGAGTAGCCACTCTAGACATTATAACACACATAAAATAGACGGATACAATTATGTACAGCTGCAAAAGATGATGAAGCAGTTTAGGAAGAAGAATCAATAGCTTCGACTTGTTGTCTAGCAAGGTACTTTTCTCTTCTCTCCTTCTGATAGATGACACAAACTTTGGTTAATAAAAATATCACGGGAGAAAGGAAGAGGAGCTCAATGATGTTAATCTATATATATTACCCATTCGTCTATCACAAGACCCTCCCCGACCACGCGAGGCCCTGTCTCCGGTAGAGGCTTCTTTCTTTCTTCAACCGCAGCTTCAGCTTCATCCAATTGACGTTTCAGTTTCTCCAGTGCCTGATAATTACCTCAATGAGCCTCCTTACTGAAAGATTCAAACTCAGAAAAATTATAGCGAAAATCTAGTTAAAGCTTACAGCACTTGGGCGTTCTGCATCAAGAAAAATGACCCGAAGAACCCTCTCCACGGTGACTTGATCCTTTTGCTCATCAAACTGCATTGAAAAACACGGGAGAGATGGATCATCTTAAACATGCAAAGAAACAAGATAGATATCATTCAGAAGCCTAAAACTCTCTTACTTATCGTTTGAACCTATTTACCAATAGCATTGACATTAACCTACAAGAGTTATATCTAACATTACGAATATATTCTACGATTGAACAAAACTTTCAGAGTTGTACATAATAAACAACCTAGTAAGAGTTGGAAAGGAGGAAGATAAGATTACCAACTCAGGGACAAACTCAACTCCAGGTTTGACTTTGAGGCTCATAATCTTAAACTTAGCCTTGCTCTTCTGGTTTAACTGCGGTTTCTCATTGTTTTCTGGGTGTTCCACGAACTTAAACACTGCATTGTTTGGCACGAAGCAGAGGATGAGTAAACAAGTAGGGAGTACATTTAGCTTTCTACAAAACTCATTAATAATTATACCAGTAGCAAAGACGCTCTCTCCTGGAGCCAAAACACCACCAGGTGGACGCATGTAACAACTCTTGGGTGCAGTTGTTTGGAACTGAACAAAGATGAGAGACTTTATTAGATTGAAAACAAAGTCAACAACAACTATTCATCATGTACAAGTAGTGTCTCCGTTACCTTGAATGCAGTATGAGACTTGCTAGTGTTCTTTAGCTTGATTGCGCTTCTCACTTGTTTACCAGGCTCATCTGCAACACACACACAATTTCAAACCGAGAAAAGCCTCCAAGGATCTCTAACTAACTAACTAACTAACTAACTAACTAACTAACTAACAGAAACAATCAATTGAAAGGAACCGAAGAAGACGTACAAGGAAAATAGAGATAGCTGGAAGGATCTAGACGGAGACGACGGCGAGCCGGAAGAATTGATCTCGCGACGGAAGAGACAGTCAAGGCCGAGGACTCCGGTTTGGAGACATCCGTATTCCGATTATGTCGATGGCGGCCAGGGTTCTGAGTTGACGACGGAGAAGAAGAGGAGGTGATGCTTCTCCTCTGCCAGAAAGGGAATAGCCTCAAGAGATTCTTCTTCTTCTTCTCCGCACTCGGATTCTGACCGTCAGTAATAGCCATCCGAACCTAAATCAATTTCCGGTGACCGGGAGAACAGTGACAATCTCTCTCACTCTCTCTCTAGGAAAGTGGATTTTTCAATTTTGAAACAAGAAAGAGAGAGAGGGGAAGAAACGAGTTTATAAAAGTTGATTTTATTTTTTTTTCCCAGTTTATAATATAATGTTTCAAATCAAAGTCCGTGTGAAACCGAGTTTGACAAAATAAAAAAAAAGTCCACCAAAAAGGTTGTGTTTTCGCATTTATAACAAAACGGATTTGAAAAATCAGTGAGTGGTTCTTCTTGTTGTGATTTCGTTTTCATTCCTTGCCTTGTACTTGTACTATTTGGTTGCTGTATTTGCTTCCATTTTCAATCTCTACCGTATTTCTTGTGGAACTAGTACGCATGTTTGATGTGACTAGTTTTTAATTATTACCTACTTTTAATTGGATAAACGTTAGTATATATAATCTGCTAACAACTTTTATGTTTATAGATCGAGAATTCGGCAAAAAAACACGAACTTCGCATGAATTGCCAATAGAAATATGTACTCGATCATTGCCAAAAAAAATATTATACTTTTGTTGACTTCTTAATTTTATTTCGAAAATAAAAACATAGACCACTTGATTTGAATCTGGGCTAGCTAGGTCAAATGACATGATATTTTACTACTGGACTAGTGTTACTTTCAATGTATTCACTAACATAATTTTTTTAATGCAATATTAATTGAATATAAAAAATCTCTAGAAAACTTTAAAATATCTTTAAAATTACAAAAAAAAAAATTGAAAAAATAAAGATTCTTTTATAAAATTAATTTTGAAACTAAAATTAAAAACAAAATTTCAATTTTTTTCTTTTTAAAAAATCAAAATCTTCCAAAAATTTCAAGAAAGGTCCACAAGCCCAGTGGCAAAGCCCCTACCATTATCTCTAAGTGCACGAGTTCAAATCTCTGGAATCACGTTTTCACACCTTATTTTTTGGCCAGCCCATACGTACATGTTTCTTTTGGCAATTCGTGTTTTTTTTACTGAATTCCCTTTTCAGATCGTACATTCTTGTTGATTTCTTTACACTTTTTTTTCCAAATTTGTTTCGTTAATTAAGGCACATAACCAATTCATGGTGAGATCAAAAACCAATACAAACGGACCCAGCAAGATATGAATCCTTTCGAAAACATATCACCTTCTCAATTTTCTAATGCAAGTGTTTCGTTTCCTATATTGCGCAGAGATCAATTAATCTGGACTACGTATATACTGGCTCTCCAGGAAAATTTTGAAGAATCCGAACTCACTCTTGGCTAAGATTCTAACCGGAGAATACTGTGTCCACTACTCCTTCATTGACTCTCAAGTTCCCTCCAACGCCTCTCATGGCTGGCGTGGAATTATGTTGGGAAGAGATTTACTGAAAAAAGGCTTGGGATGGGCAATTGGTTCGGGAACAGAGGTGAATATTTGGTCGGAACCTTGGATGTCCTAGCGACTGGGATTTGAGAATTCTCAGGGAAACTCTTCCACAGTATGAGGATATAATTCGCAAGCTAATCCCTAGTGTTTTACAAGCACCAGATGAAAGAGTTTGGCTCCCCAATGCTTCGGGTCTTTATACCACGAAATCGGGATATGCGGTGGTTAAGCTCTATAATGGAACACAGGAAGATCTTTCTTTTAACTGGAAGAAGTGTATATGGCAGACCGATATGTCACCAAAAATTAAACACTTCTTGTGGAAAGCTAATAATAGAGCTCTCCCTGTTGGAGCGGTGTTACAAATCAGAGGAATAACATCGGAGCTTGTCTGCAAGCGGTGTGGTGCTGTAGAAACGGAGCTTCCCGTTCTCCTCCATTGTCCTTACGCGGCCAGAGTCTGGGACCTTGTTCCGTGCTTATTTAAACCTGCCTTGGAGTCTACGATATCTGTAGCATCTCTCTTACAGCAGTGTCGGAGAATGATTTCTCTTCCCCCTTGGGTCTAGGGACTACACCTCTGTACCTCTGGATTCTCTGGCTCCTTTGGAGTAACAGAAATAAGCTTGTGTATGAAGATAGAGCTTTCTCTGAACAGGAGTTCTTAAAGCACAACAAGATTCTCGAGCATGGAAGGCTGCTCAGTCCTATGACAAATTACCTTCCTTACCACAACGTGTGGTCCAAGTCCCTGATCTACTCACAACTAATTCCTATACGTGGTCTTCATTTCTGATGCAGCTTGGGATTCAACAACAGGGAACTGTGGAATTGGCTCCTTCGAGACGCTAACAACTCCATTGCTGAATGCTCCTCTCCTCTCACCGGCGTTTCGTTCCTTCAGCTCTCGTGGCTGAAGCGTTGGCGGTTAAAGCAGCAATCACTGCTGTTATCTCTTCACATGTCAGTAGCATTTGCATCTATTCTGACTCAAAAAAACCTCGTTATGCTCTTGAAGAACCAAGGACAGAATGTGGTGCTGAAAGGCATTCTCCACGACATCAATGTGTTGGCTTGCTCTTTCTCTTTTATCTCGTTTAATTATGTTCTGCGTTTAGCGAATGTTGATGCTGACTTGATTGCTAAAGCAGCTCTTGTTTCTCTTAACTCTTTTGAGACTCTGTAGTTCTTCTGGTTTTTATTTTCAATCGATGTTTGCTCAAAAAAAAAAAAGATAGAGTTCTAAATCATAAGTAGAACTTAGCACAACTCTTTAGCATTACCAAAAGAAGGACAATACATGGACTCTTGAATTAGGAACCTCGACCCCAATGCCTCCTTTCCTCTTTCACGAGCTGTCTTCCAATCTATTTGCTGGTACTTTTGTGTAGGCTTAATCAATCTACCCCATTGTGACACTTAAATTGCCAAAAACAATTTCATTTCCAAGTTCATTCATCTACTCCGTGATACTTAAATCACTTTCCATATCATCAGGGTCTTGGTTGAAGTCGGTTGAATGAGGGGTCATGGTCAAAGAATCATTCCCTGATGGTGCAATACCTTCATTTATGATAACTAGGTGATTTTTATGTGCTCATGCACGGGCATGTATACTTATAAAATAAATATACAATAATAATTGATTGATATTTACTTTATTTTTTTAAATTAATTTATAGTTTGTATGTCTAATTTATATCATAATATTATATTACTTTAATTATATATATATAATTTTAGATATGTTATATTTAGTCTGTTATATTGTTTTTACGGTCGATTTAGTTATCATTTAGATATATTGGATTCTATCTATTTCTCTGAATTTAACTATAATCTTTTATATTTTAAATATATTAAATCTTTGATTAATTTTCTTATTTGCATTTATGCTGGTTGTTATCTTATAAATATAAGTATATTTAGTAAGATTATATATAACTTAAGATTTTTTTGTGCTTAGAAGGAAAAAAATAAAAACTTAAGTATCTGATTCTAAATTACATACATAAGTAACTTGTGAATTTTTAGAAGCTTTTGAACACATATCAATATTTACAATAATTAAAATATTTTATAAATTCTAAAAAAATTTATGCTTTAGATTGGTTGGATGGTAAACTAAAATTTATTTTAAATAATTTTAAAAATAAGGATTTTGATTTGCTTAAGTATTTTGACTATGATTATATTAAGCTTCAGAAACATAAAAACAGAAAATTAAAAATCAAAAGATTTATTAAGAAAACATATAATTTTAACTATTAAAATATAATATATCTACCTCGTTAAATTATATATTGTTATGGTATTTAAAATAATTGTAGTTATTTTCTGTTTTTATTTTTGTGAAACTTAATATAACCATAATCAAAATACTTAAATAAATCAGAATCCTTATTCTTAAAACATATAATTTTAACTATTAAAATATAATATATCTACCTCGTTAAATTATATAGTGTGATATTTTAAAATAATTGTAGTTACTTGATCAAAAGATGTTTATTATTAAATTTAATTTTAGTTTTATTTTTAGTATCTCTTAAAATAGTCAGTAAAAAGTGATTGTTTCTGAGAAATTATACTATATAAGTAAAATAGAATTTATATTTTTACTGTAATTGTAAGATATTATAGTAAAATAAATATACTAAAAATAATTTCAATAATACTAATTATAAAAAATTCCAATTAAACATATATCAGTTTATGTTAGTTGATTATTTTATTTAATCATCTAATAAAATAGATAGATATACAAAAATAATTATTTTGAAAATATATTATAAAGAAAAAGTATTTCTTTTTCTAATAGAAATATTTTTTGTGTGAAACTTTTTTATGAAATCACATTATATACAGATCTTGTTTTTTATCTAAAAATATATAGATATAAAGTATTTTATTACTTCAAAGGTATATTTTATATTATTTTAAAATATATTTAAATTAAATATTACTATTTTGTGAACTTTTCTTTTTTATGAAACTATATTATATATACTTATTTTCGTTTATAAATAGTTTTGTAAATTTTATAAATATTTCCTTTTTGTTTTATATTGTTATTTGGAAGATTTTAAAAAGGAAATAATTATATTTAAATATATTTTTAATTCATTAGAGGTATCATAGTAATCAACCAGTGTAAGAGTTAACGTGAATGCGACACCTAAGAAAGTGACTTCTCAAATAATATTATAGAGATGTTTTATCGAACATTGTTCATAACTTGAGAAAACATGATTCAATATAAAAATATTTAATTCCATAAAAATGTAAAACATCTTAGATCAATGTAAAAAGTTAAACTTAATCTATACTATTAAAGGATAATCTCTATTAGAATTATGTCCTTACTTTTTCAAATTATTTACATTGCTATGCCACTGGAATTTAGTTTTTATATATATATTATTTATCTAATCTATTATATTAGATCCCTATTTTCTATCTACCATAGAAAAGTCATAGTAAGACCACTAGATTAATTATTTGATAGGATGTATTTAATTATTTTCATTAATCAATCAAATGGATAACATTTCTGAAAATCTTCATAAAGATACTAATAATAAATCAATCTACAAATTTAAATTATGTTTTTACGACAAAATATTTTGAGAAAACTAAAATTTTTAAATATGATGTTGTAAAATATTTCATTAATTATTTTCCTAATTGGTATTATGAGAGAGTTATAGATTAGTGTTAATCAAATTTTTAATATAAAACGAAATAAATATTTTGTACCATTTTAAAAAATTTATAATTATATTAAATTGATAGATTAGCCTATTTTATTTTTAAGAACCGTTTTCATTTAAATAAATAAATAAAATATCATTCCCCGTTAAAACATATTAAATTTCATAAGCTATGTTTTATATAAAAAATATATTTTAAAATATACTAAATTTTTTATATCTACACTATATATATATGGGTTTTAAGATTTTTTAATATTTCTATGTCAATACCATAGCATTAAAAAAAAATTTTATATCAATAAAATTGATTTAATAATATATGGCCATAGTTAATTTATATCTCTCTAATATATATAATATAAATTTATGATTGTAATCTATAATATTTTCAGAATCAAGATTTTATAGCATCTTAAATAAATTTTCCTTTTGTTCAAATATGTAATAACAATCAATAGAAAAAGTAAATTGTATATAAAACAAATTATCACATATTAATAATATCGACCAAAGTTTTTAAACTAAAATTATAGAGTTACATAGTCTATATTACGAAAATGTAAATTATATATTTTAAAATTTTATTATAATATCAAATTATACATTTGTAAAATGTGAAAATATTTGCACTTTAGTGCGGTTCAAATTCTAGTTTAAATTAAACAACCGAATTTTTTCCTATATTCTTGTAAATAATATTATCCATATTTTATAAATAATATAATTCTAATTTTATGCAAATAATTCTTTCCATTAAATTTGAATATTATTTTTTGTGCTTAGTATTATTAAACAATCAAATTTGAATATTTTTGAAGGTTAAAAATTAGCATATTAGTATTATGTAAAAATATCACAGTAAATAATATTTTTTTTTTAATTTTCCTATATATATATATGAAAATTAAAAAAAAATATTATTTACTGTGATATTTTTACATAATACTAATATGCTAATTTTTAACCTTCAAAAATATTTTAAAACTTATCATAAAATCAAAACTTTGCATCTAAACTAAACAGTAATAACTTTCATAAGTTATTAAAAACGAAAAAGAAACTAATATTGTCATATCAATAAATTTTACTTTGTCTATTAGCATTATTTAATTTTTTTAAAAATAAATGAATGAAAAATTCATCAATGTATATAATATTACAATTTAAGTCTTATTATGCGTTATTTAATCCAAAAATCCAAAAATTTCATTTTTTTCCAACAAATCATCTGATATCAGATCATAGGTTAATATCGGGTTTTCGATTTTACAAGGTTTTATCTAATTTTTAACTATCGAGTTTTTATTAAATCTAAACCGGATTAAAAAAATATTGCCGGCTATATCGGTTCAACCATAGTTTGAGTCGGATATGAAAAAAATTCCTGAAAATTAGTTATAATAGAAATTGTTTTTTTTGAATCACTAATACACAAACTTTAAAATTGTTTATTTTTAATAAAATTTATAAAATCAATCAAATTTTATTAAAAACGTAAAAATATACCCGTGCTTTTAAAGCGCGGGTCAAAATCTAGTTACTCTGTTAAATTAAATTATCACAAAATTATTTTTACAAAGAAAATATTGAGCTAACCGCCAGATATTAAGTCATTCGCTTTTTGCTTTGCCAAAAAGTTTGAAATCTTTCCTATTATTTTTGCCTCTTCTCCACGTTACTTGTTGATGAGTATAAAAGTAGTCATCACGAGAAACAAGAAAGAGCCGAGAAAAAAAAAGAAGGTTTTTTACCTATATAGTTCATTCCTTCCCAGTTACAAGCTATAACCAAGATCATGAGCCAAATCGCATGTTCAACCTCCTTCGGCAACGCCGCCATAAGGTCTCTCAACTATATCCGTCCACTCTACGCAGCTCTGCCTCTAATATCAGCCGGAATCAACGCCGCCTCCAAGCCCCCCGGCTCCACCACCGTCCGCAGGTTCAGCAGCTCTCCCCTGCCTAGTTTCAACAGGCTTCAGTCTCCCGCCGCTCGTCGGACAAAACTATCCTCCGCCGCCTCCGCCTTGGTCCGTCAATTCAGCAGCTCTCCTAGTGGTCATGCTTCCCCTGGTCCTGCTCTCGATAGGTTTTCTAAGCTTACAATTTCTTATGTGTGAAAGAAACTTAACGGTAAACTTAGTGTTGGATTGATTGTAAAATGTTTTTGAACTGTATAGATTCCAAAACGAGCCCCAGACTAACTGGGGAGTCCGAATAGTGCCGGAGAGGAAGGCGTGTGTGGTTGAGAGGTTCGGTAAATACGTAAAGACTCTGGGGTCGGGGATACACTTCCTTGTCCCTGGTGTGGATCGTATAGCTTATGTTCATTCCCTCAAGGAGGAAGCGATTCCCATTGGTAATCAGTCTGCGATCACAAAGGATAACGTCAGCATCAACATCGATGGTGTTCTATACGTTAAGGTTTGTTTTGAGACATTCTCTTTGTTCTAGTTTAAAAGGGATCCTATGTTGAGAGTTTGTTGGATTGGTTTGTGCAGATAGTGGACCCTAAACTAGCTTCTTATGGCGTTGAGAATCCAGTTTACGCTGTTGTCCAGCTGGCTCAGACTACAATGCGTAGTGAGCTCGGTAAGATTACACTTGACAAGACTTTTGAGGAACGAGACACTCTCAATGAGAAAATTGTGGTTCGTTCTCTCTCTATACTTTCATGTTTCTTGTTCAATTTTTTTATTTTGTGGATTTGTTATGTCATGATGGTCAGTGATGTTACTGTGGTACTAGTAATTGCATTTGAGATTATTTAGCTTAGTTGTTTATTTTTTATCATTAATTCCTATTAGTTTGAGTTTAATTTTGTAAGATAAAAGAGTCTACAGTATTCGGCTGGGGAATGCATTATGAATTTGTATTTATGTTTTGGATATGATGGTTTTGAGATGGAATTATTTCTTGCAGGAAGCTATCAATGTTGCTGCAAAACATTGGGGTCTTGAGTGCCTTCGTTATGAGATAAGTGAGTATTTTTTTCTGTTTTGATGGATTCCCTTGTTTGTATGTTACTAAATACATGTGGTGTGTATTAATCTAGGGGATATCATGCCTCCTAATGGAGTGAAGGTTGCTATGGAAATGCAAGCTGAAGCTGAACGGAGAAAGAGAGCCCAAATTCTTGAGTCTGAAGGTATATTTGCATTGCTAAACTTTGCACTGCTCATTTCTTTCAAATTATTGGCTCAATGTTATCCACTTTACTTCTTGATTTGTTTCTCATAATCTGTTTTACTAACTTGAATAGGAACACGTCAAGCCCATATCAACATTGCTGATGGTAAGAAGAGTTCTGTAATCTTGGAATCAGAAGCTGCAAAGATGGACCAGGTCAATCGAGCATCAGGTTAGTATTAACTGTTTAGTAACCAATCAGATCAAAAGCATGAAATAATAAAATGTCAAGCCTCGATTTGTTTATTCTATACAATGGTTTTTCAATTAAAATTTGTGTTGCTTCTCTCCCCAGGTGAAGCAGAAGCAATATTAGCTAGAGCACAAGCCACAGCCAGGGGACTGACCTTGTTATCTCAATCCCTCAAAGAAACTGGTGGAGTGGAGGTTAGTACATAAGATTAAGCAGCTCTTCTTATGCATGCTTTGCACTGAATCTTTAAGATGTAGTTTGGTTTCATATCAGTACATAGTTTTTTTCCAGAACCGTTATCCCATACATGATTCTCTTTTAGATTCTACATAGTGTTTTTGTGTCTTGTTGAGTTAAATTTGGACATCCTGGTGCAATATGCAGGCTGCGAGTTTGAGAGTTGCGGAGCAATACATTCAAGCTTTTGGCAACATCGCTAAGGAGGTAAACAATTATAAAACACAACTTACTTGTTTCTATTCTGATCCTCCCTTAGGGGGGTATTGATCTGATAGAGGAATTAATATTCTTCTTTTTGATAGGGTACAACTATGTTGCTTCCGAGTTCTGCTGAAAATCCTGCTAACATGATCGCTCAAGCTTTGACAATGTACAAAAGTCTCGTCCCCAATGGTGCCCTCCAAGATACTTCAGCAGTAGAAGTGGCTACTTGAGCTTATACCCTTCAGTAGAAACTATGGTAGCTTAACTAGAACTATAATTATTATTTTTGACCTGAGAAAGGTGTTTAATAGGACAGATAGTTATCAACTTATCTCACCTTAGTGTCATTTTTTATTGCAAAATAGTAAACACATCTAAATTCTAATCTCCTATGGGGGTTTTCACCACATTTGGTTGGGTTTTTTTTTGTTGTCTTATATCTTTATTTTAATATCAAACTCTTCTTCAGTTTGTTTTATGGTTGCGATCGTCCTTGAAGTTTCAAGGATCCTATGTTCATATAACTTCGGTTTCTAACTACAAAAACAATCAGAACGTACTAAATCAATTAATTTAAGAGAAGTAAAACTCTTTATCCTCAGCAAGAACAGGCAGCTAGCTTCTTGTTCGCACTCGGACTCGGACGGTCAGTGATCGCCAATCAATTTCCCTTGAACACTCTATAGCTCAAATCGGAACACTTATAGGCTATGCCTAGGCATATTAACCATAATCCATAACCGAAAAACACGAACCCGACCTTATGAATCCATCAAAATACCTGACCAGTTTTGATATGTTGATACTTTGAGTATCAGGTATGGACGGTTTAAACCAAAACTCGAATTAGAATTTGAAATAACCGAAGTGTATGTATATGTAGATAAGTATATGCATATATTACACGAAGTCGACAATTTTCAAGACACGCTTTATTATTTTCAAAGTTTAAGAGACATGTTTCTTAATTTTTATCAGTTAATCTTACTTAACAAAGTTTGTGTTGTTACGATTATATATTATGTGAGTTTTCATATTTCACTTATCACTATGAGCAATTTGTAATGTCTGATGTTATCATTTAACAACATAGAAGACATGACAATTTCAGTAATTTCTACATATTTATAAATCTTCCGATCTTGTTCTATTTTGTTGGCGTCATAAAAACGAGTATCAATAAATCAAATCTCAACAGTTGTGATTCATAATTTTAAGTTAAGTGTCTTATGTTTATTTGTTTTCTTTGAATTTTATTTCAGTTAATCCGAAACCGATACACTGAAATCCGAACCCAAATGATATGTTGTAACTTCAGTATAATCTAAACCTAAACCGAAACATATGTGTTATATCTGATCCCGATTCGAATTTAAGAATTTTTAAAAATACAACCTAGGAGATGTTATAAAAAAAAGAACTGATATCCGATCTACTCGACCCGATCCTGAACGAGTACCCGAACACCCAGACCTAACTCACGCAATGAAAACATAGCAAATACAATCAAACCGTGGATTGAGTTTCATCCTTAAAGAAAATTATTATTTTAGTGATATGGGCCGGTATGGCAATTCGAGAACTAAGCGACCGTAAAATAGTTACGTTATAGAGGACGCATGGCGCAAGCATGTTGTTGGCTAAGTTCATGTATACATGAGCTCTCTACGTGTGTTATGAATTATAGTGATCATGTTGCACATTCTCCATTGTCGATATTGTTTGCAAGTAAGCTAATTGTAATTCCCAAATCCCAAACTGTTGTCCAAAGGCAATAATTTCGTGTTGATTGATCGAGATATGGAGTTTCTCAATGCTTTAATTAGTGGATATTTTCATTTAGCCACTGAGATAGGTTCTTCAAAACAATAAGAAGAAAAAAACATACAAACTTAAGTTTTATTTTGGTTAAGTAATAGTTTATCTCCTTAACTAAGATTCATCAACAAAACCCAATACAAGATGCAACTGACTTAAGCATGAAGCACAAACGAGAATCCTGACAAACAAAATATTTTCTTCGCTTTTCGTTACAAGAACCATAAGAATTACAATGATATGGAGCCAGCTGACTTGTATGGAACGTATCTTGAGCGTCTGCATAGATAAAAGGTCTATTAAGGTAGGTACCACTATGAACTTCAAGCAATCTCCATCAATACAAAAATATCTTTTGTTTGATAAGAGTTACAAAGAAAAGTTTACACAAAACACTTCTTAAGATTTTATGTTAACTTGAGCGTCCACATAGATAAAAGGTCTATTAAGGATTTTTAAGGTAGGTACCACTATGATCTTCAAGCAATCTCCATCAATACAAAAATATGAATCAAAATGCCACGTAAATTATTAATTAAAAATAATATTAAATTTTTAAAAATAACTATAATAAAGGAATGACGTCAGTTTTAACAACGTAGGTAGCTAAGTATTAAACCCTAAATTTAAAATTTTAAACTTCAGATCCTAAATCATAAATACAAATTCTAGATTCTAAACCTAAACATTATACCATAAATCCAAACCCTGGATCCTAAACCCAAACAGTAAACCCTAAACCCAAACTATATATTGTCTATGTTTAGAGTTGGAGTTTAGGGACTACAGTTTGGATTTATGGTATAGGATTTAGGTTTAAAGTATACAGTTGAGGTTTACGATTTGGGTTCAGAATATATAGTTTTGATTTAGGGTATATGTTTTGGATATAGGATCTAGAATTTAAATTTAGGATTCATAACTTAAAATTAAAAATTTAGGGTTTGGGTTTATGGTATAGGATTTGGGTTTAGAATTTATAATTTAGATTTAGAATATAAAATTTATGGTTTAAGGTTTAGCTGGACGCTAACGCTAAATTTAACGTTATTATTTTTTTCGCCATTTTTATGTATTTAATATTTTTATTTAATAATCTATATGGTACTTTGATTGATCTTAGAAGATGATGTGAATTTAAAGATTTGCCTTTGTAGTGAAACTAAGTTTTGTTCCAAAAGTATCTTTTGTTTGATAAAGTTTTCCTAGAAAAATTAACTCAAACACTTATGATTTTATATTAACTTGTAAAAATCTGTAAGACACCAAGGTATCAGTTTAAAGAGTTGTAAAAAGATATTAGTAGCGACTTGATAAAAAAAAAAGAAAATGTTTTTTAGCAATGTTTTGGATATTTTTAAACATGGTTCAGTTTTGGTTCGGTTCCAAGTAATATATCCACCCCTAGTTAATTTTTAGTTATGTTCTCAATTTCCGACTATAGAACATAGAAAATCTGATTTTACAACACAGTTTTGGCGGATAATTGGTAACTTACAAAAATATGGTGGTTAATAAACCTAATTTTAACAAGTGCTCATTATCGTTGACATACACAAACTCTTATATACTATACTTATTTCATTAGTTGACAAAAAAAAACCTCTTCTATATTATAATTTGTAACACAAATTTAATAAGAGTATAATACGCATAGATATTAAAACTTTTAAGAAACAAAAATCAAGACTTCCAAGGAAGACATACATCAAACATGTTAGTGATTTTGTTAAGCTTGCAAGGACCATTCTTGCGTATCTTCCACTCACAGTGTGTGCAACCAAACTTCTCAAACTCTCTATCTCTTTTCTGCTTATAGATATCGAAATAATGTGATTCCTTTCCCCAACTAAATCTGCAAAAGAATAAAGTACGACCAAAAATATCAGGTTTAAAGCGAAAGAACCCTGATCCACCTACTCCCAAACGCTGGTATCCAAGATCATTGTCCCCCGATTTACAGTGGTAGGCTAACGATAATCCACTTCCAAGATCATTATGAATCATGACTGTCGTCTTTTGGGCATGAGACATGGTTGCACTCATGAACAGAATCACCGTGATGAAGAGAACATGATGTTTTAGAGAGTCCATTTATCTTTCTTGTACGTATTTTTCTTAGAATATTGGTTCTTTATATATACTGAAACACAATATATGCTTCGATATTCTTATATAGTTTGGTAAAATATGGAAATTTTGTTTTGTTAACTAATATAATGCATAAAATTATGTATTATTTCTATTCTTGAATCAGTAAATTCTAATCAACCTTTCATTAAACAGTAACTATGAGAATTCTTTCCTTAAAAATAAAATAAAAATTTCCTGTTTCCTTTTCTTACCTTTTTGTGTTGTCGATCTCCTTTTTCTAGCATATTTTAATCTAAACTGAGCCATGTAAGCTATACAGTTTTATTTCTATTCTCGAATCTGTTATTCAAATCAACCTTTCACCGTATCAAACATTAAATATCGTTTCTGAGAATTCATTTTTCCTTTTTCTTGTTTCTAATAAAATTTCATTTTCCTATTTATATCGCTAAACATTATTTATAAGTAATTTTTAAAAGGTTGATTAAGTGCCATATTTGAACTAGAGAAATTGTATCATATACACACCACTTTCTCTCTAATTAAGTTAATACCCTAAACCCCCACACAAGATACCTTTGTTGCTAGAGAGTAACTTGTCCCATCATAGGTGGTTTGTTAATTTTCTCATTCTTTTTGGATATTTAGCCAATTAACTCTTTGAACTATACCATGTGTTATCACCATATTTTTGTGTGAGGGTTATTGATTATTGGTATGCATTATACAATATGTTTGTATGAAAGGCATGTGCGTAAAGTTCAAAAAAGGAAGACATGTGTGTAATGCATGTTTTAAACATGAACAAAAGATATGATATAAAATTTGAAGCAATGTAACAACTGATGTTTATTAGGACACAAAAATATAAGGAACTGGAAAAAACAATAACACAAATGCATTGAAAATAACAAGGTTCAACTCAATATTTGATCATTTGTATTTTACTCTTAAAACTACCTACAAATCCAATTCCAAATCAAATCCTTAAACAAATCCTTATATTTAAATAGCACATGGTTCTATATCAAGTTTAAAATTATAGAACCAATAAATAAGGATTTAAATGTCAATTTTAAAATGATAGAATCAATAATACTAGATTTGGTTTGTATTTCAAATCCGTTGAAATGCACAAACCAATAACATCCTCAAAGATTCTTTAGAGACATATGTTGGTCTATCTAAACACAAACTATGGTTGCACTAAACTAACCATACATTAATTGTTAGTATACACAAATTTCTTACTTCTTCCTTTAAATAAAAAATAAAAAATTATTTAATGTGATTAAGATATTTATAATAATTAATCATTTTAAGTTAAAAAGATAATTAATAATTTTGAATAATAAATATTTGAAAAATAATTTTGTATCCTATATTATTTTTAATTAGTATTATTAAAATAAATTTATAATAAAATAAATCATATAATAAAAAATTAAATTTTCCGTATATGTTATAACATGGGTGGATGTTGATGTGTCATTATTAGGACTGAGAAAATAAATCGAATTCAAAAATCTGAATCAAACCGATAGATAAGAATTTGTACTGATTCAAACGCGTAATAAATATCAAATGAATATTGTTTTACGGTATTTCAGATTATGAATTTTACCCTAATCAAACTCAAATGGATATCCAAAAACCCTGAAAATTTAAATCCCAAATAAAACTTGTACAAAGTCCAATTTCAATCCTTAATATGTAGCCAAAACACACTAAATATTATTCAATATCTAAATAATTATCTTAAAAAACAACTTGTACCAAACCCAATCTAATCTCCAATATGTATTAAAAACACACTAAGATGTTATTGAGTACTTAAAATAAGTATGAACAATTAGTCCAAATACTAATCTAATATATATATATATATATATATATATATATATATATATATATATATATGTGTGTGGTCGATATTAATGTTTTTTTAGTTATGAATACGTTAGATTTTGAATTTAAAAAATGTTGTTGTTTTTAGGTTTAAATAGTGTTTTTAATGGTTAAAGAGATGTTCGTTGTTCAATTTAATTTTTTATGTTTTATTATGTATGATTCTAATTGGTACAAGAATTTTCTAGTTGTTAATCATGATGTTGTCACATATTGTTCAAAGAAGAATCTTGTTGATACATGAGTTTTCCAAAGTTATTTTCAATGATAATAATATGGTTTGAGTAAGTTATGTACACAAAGTTATTGAAAATATACTGAATTTAAAGTATAAATTAATATTTCTAGAATCGATAATCCGCTTAATATTTAAAACCAAAACTATTTCAGATTTAATATGAGTTTAGACATGTAACGAAACTCAAACCGAAACAACTAAACTCAGAATGAATCTGAACTAAATTTTTATAATATTCGAATGAAGATGAAATTTATGAACCCAAAAATCAAAAACTTGTTTCTAACTGAGTTTTATATAATATTAAATATGGATCCGTGCGTTGCACGGGTTTTGTTTAATGTTATAATTTTTATAAAACATAAAAAAAGTAATAAATAATTTTTTATAGTTTTAGGATTCCTTTTGCATATGTTATGAGTGTGAGAATTAAGAACTTGTTTTCCCACATAAATTCCAGTTAATATTTGTACTTAGTGTTAGAAAAAATAATAATATTAAAATATTAACCAGAATTTAATTGGTTAAATATATTCAGTCCAAAGTAAGAATTCAAGTGAAAAAAAAAATTGAAAGTTAAATACGGTTAATCAAGTCAATGACAACATCATACACTTTCATAAATACTAATTAATTTGTGTATTAACTTATCTTTTGTTATTCTTCTTAGTTAAATATATTCTAATGTTTCTTGGTCGTTTAGTGAAGTTTGTATTGTTATTATAGGGTGCTTAATACATTTCTGTTTATTTATTACCTATGTATTTTGGTTTGCATAATCTATAAGTTTTAACTGTTCAATTAGAAGAAATTATTTCGGGTTCTTACTTTTATCGTGTAATTAATGATAGTTAAATATTAATACATGCATCTTATAGCCACAAAAAGTTGTGTGCATGTTGAAGACCATAGATGCATTTTGTAGCCACAAAATCTATGTGCATGTTGAAGACTATCTTTATGAATCTTAATTGTATAAATAATTGTTTATAAAAAAATAAATTCTTAATTATAATTTCGTAAAAAAAGATCTATATGTTGTGGTGGTAAGTCTTAAAAGTCACAAAATTTATGTGCATGTTGAAGATCATATTTATGAATCTGAATTATGTGAATAACTGTTTATAAGAAAATTTATCTTCTTAATTATAGTTTCGTGAAAAATTCTATATTTTAGTGGTGATAAATCTTAAATAAATAAATTAGTAATTTTATTATATGTTGTAATAAGGCCGAAGAAAACACAATTTTGAAGGTAACTAAGAAGTTCTTCAAATTTAATTTTAAATAGACATTCAGTATCATATATATATATATATATATATATCATTTGAAAACTGCATATAACTTTATAAACTCAATTCCATTTCCAAAATACTAAACCTTAAACAATAATCAGTAAGTTTAAGCCTAAATGCTTTAATATTTTTGCTTGATGAAAATATTTAAATTGGTATTCCGTTTTAGATTTGTAGTTTTTCCTATGTTTGCTTTATTATTATTTTAAATTACTCGCTTCATATTTTCTAGTAATAATAAAGTTGTTTATCCGATTTTAAATAATTTTATTAATTCATTATTTATTAATGATATATTCTCATTATTAAATTTTAATTAAAAAAGAATGACAAAACATACGATATAGTAAGAACTAAAATGTAATAAGATGATGATGAAACTTGATTTCTTTTGACCAAACACATATAAATATCACTTATAATGACAATAATAATAATATATTTTTATGACCAAACACGAAAATATATATATCAGACATGTGTCTGGTTTTCATATGAGACATATATAAATTAAGACCAGTGACAACAACATTATAATTTTTTATTTTGTTATTTAAATAGTTTTTATAAATTAAGACCAGTGACAACAACATCATATTTTGTTAATTAAATAGTTTTAATATCACATTTTCATCAAATTATTTTTATAAAATTACAATTAAATAAGTTCTTATAATTTTCCCTTTGTAAGGATATGCAAAAGTAAAACATTCTATTTTATAAATATTTTACTTATATTTAAATATGAAAACACTATCAAATACACTTTTTCATTTTTGTGTAGGATTTAGAAAATGAAAAGTACGATCATATAATATTTTTACAATTATCTCATATTTAGAATATCATATAATTATCAAATAATTATTTTCGGTTAGTTTAATAATTATTAATTAGTATCATGTTCATCATCAAGTTATCTTTTAAAAAATATTATCAAATAACTTTTTACATTTCTCTTTTAGCTAAAATCTAAAATATGATAATATCCTTTTTGTTTAGGATTTTTAGGAAAAGGAAAATTATTATCAAATATTATTTACCATTTTTCTTAAAGGATTTTAGAAAAAGAAAACTAATATTACATAATATTTTGTAGTTATATTTTTATAGGATTTAGAAAAATAGAATTACTATTAAATAATTATATTCAGTTAATATTAATTATTTTAAAAAGTTACTATTTTCAAATTTCGTTTTTGCAATGCAAAGTTTCTAGTTTTAAAAGTTGCTATTCTTTTTGGTAAGAGATTATGTAATAGTAATTTTCTATTTTAAATGCTAAAAAAATTGTAAAAGAATATATTTTAATAATATTTTTTCTTTTTTAAATCTAGTTTAAATTCTATTCAAAAAATTATTATATTTTTGACACATGTCACAATCTTAAATTTTTACTAATACATGTTAGAATCATGTTAATTAGTAACTTTAAAGAACTAACTTTATATAATAAAATAATAGATTGTTAAAAGAAAGAATCTGTAAAAAAAACTAAACAAATCTAGTTTAACAAACGTGTGGAGAAAGAAAAACATTTGTTGGATAAGTTAAAAAAAATAATGTAAATCGGTGTCCCTATCTGAAATGATGTTTGGCTGGCTTTGGCCACTTCTCCAAGTATTTTGGACAGTATATAAAACTATATACATATAAAGCGTACTTGTCATATCCCCGTCAAATAAAATAGGAAAACAAAAAAGTGAGAGAGAGATTTTAAGAGGGTTTGTGCTTCTACTTGTCGAGTTAGTTACAGAATGAATCACATCATCCGATCAAGATCCGTCGCTAACAACGCCCTAAGGTCCCTCCGTCAATCTCCACCACTACTCTCCGTCCGCCACTTCAGCTCTCACGATCATGCTTCAATCAGGTAAGAATCATTCGATCTTGAGTTTCAGTAGGAATTAATCTTACGGTTTCGATCGGTTTATTGTGTAGCCACCGAATCAATCCACCGGTGAACTGGGGCATCCGAATCGTGCCGGAGAAGAAGGCGTGCGTGATCGAGCGGTTCGGCAAATACGTAAAGACTCTCGCGTCGGGGATTCACTTCCTCGTTCCCGGTGTGGATCGCATCGCTTACGTTCATTCCCTCAAGGAGGAAGCGATTCCCATTGGCAATCAGACTGCGATCACGAAGGATAACGTCAGCATCCACATCGATGGTGTTCTTTACGTCAAGGTTTCTTTCTTTCTCTATTTTTTTAGGATCTTATTTGTTGGTTGATATATGGAGGAGGTTTTTGTGTTTGTAGATTGTGAATCCACATTTGGCGTCTTATGGAGTTGAGAATCCGATATACGCTGTTGTACAGTTGGCTCAGACTACAATGCGTAGTGAATTAGGGAAGATGACTCTTGACAAGACTTTTGAGGAACGAGATACTCTCAACGATAAGATTGTGGTTCGTCTTCTTGAGCTTTGTTTCGAATTGATTCTTCGATGTCATGGTTAGTGATGTTATTGAGAATTTTTTTTGGGTGTTGTTGGTTTTATGTTAGTAGCTAAGATTGCAGCTGAGATTGTTTTAGCTTTTCTTGTTCTTTAGTCATTTCTCTGTGTTGAGTTTAGTTTTTGTTAGATAAGAGTTTGTAAAATTACTGGGGTATGTATGATGGTTTTGAGATGGAATTATTCTTCTTGCAGGAAGCTATCAATCTGGCTGCAAAACAATGGGGTCTTGAGTGCCTTCGTTATGAGATAAGTTAGTGAGTATTTGACTCTCTTTTGATGGATTCCCTTTGTTACTTAATACATGTGGTGTGTGTAATCTTAGGGGACATCATGCCTCCTGAGGGAGTGAGGGTTGCTATGGAAATGCAAGCTGAAGCTGAACGTAAAAAGAGAGCTCAGATTCTTGAGTCTGAAGGTCTGTTTGTCTTTGCAAATTCATGTCCTGTGATTACCACTGCTCACAAATACACACAACAAACCCTGCTCAATTTGTTTCTCATAATAATCTGTTTTACTAATTTGAATAGGAACACGCCAGGCCCATATCAACATCGCTGATGGTAAGAAGAGCTCTGTAATCTTGGAATCAGAAGCTGCAAAGATGGACCAAGTCAATCGAGCATCAGGTTAGTATTAACTGTTATGAACGCATCATTATAAGATGTACAAGCCATTCTGCAATTTTGTTTCATCACACCATCTTTTTTGTATTGATTTCAGGTGAAGCAGATGCAATATTAGCTAGAGCACAAGCAACATCCAGGGGGCTGGCCATGTTATCTCAATCACTCAAGGAAACTGGTGGAGTGGAGGTTAGTACATGAGATCAAACATCCATTTCTTTACATGAGTTACACTATTTTGAGCTTAACCTGATTACTAAGGTGTTAATACGATTTGCACAAAATTGTTAGTTGTCTTATCTTGATCTCCTTCCAAATGTAGTTTGGTTTCACACCTGCAGCAGCATTTTCTCCATAAATGACCTCTCTGTAGATTCTAACTTGATGGTTCTATGGACTTGCAAAAGTTGACTTTAAGTAAACTTGGGACCTCCTTCTTAATCGTGTTGTAATATGGCAGGCTGCGGGTTTGAGAGTTGCGGAGCAATATATTCATGCTTTCGGAAACATTGCTAAGAAGGTAAACATTTAGGAAACACAAACATACTGAACCAGATTCCATCTACTTATCTTATACAGTGTTTAGTGTTTAATGTTCTTCTTTAATATTCTTCTTTTTGATAGGGTACAACTATGTTGCTTCCGAGTTCTGCTGAAAATCCTGCTAACATGATCGCTCAAGCTTTGACAATGTACAAAAGTCTCGTCCCCAATGGTGCCCTCCAAGATACTTCAGCAATAGACCCTCTCCAAAAGAGGAATGGAAGACATGTGATAGAAGAAAACTAGGAACGATAATAATTCTTTTTACCTGGGAACAGCTTTTTAGTATGATATGAAGAGAAACTCTAATTTCCCCTTAGGAGATTTTGCAACAGATTGGTTTTTATAACATTGGGTTTATTCTTTTTATACATGATTATTTCAACTGCATTGCTTGCCATAGTAAATCCTTATCTTATAACAATAAGCTGTCCAACTCTTGTTCTGTTCTTTCTTGTTTCTATTTAGTTGCTAATGACAGAAGGAGAGCTTGTGATGGGGGCTAAAACGTAAACTTAGAAACTGTGGCTAAAACGTAAACTTAGAAGAACGGTGTAGAATAAAGGTTGAGGTTTGGTTCTCCTGTTGAATAGGTCGTTGACAGAGAAGAGCCTCAGAGGATCTATGGTGACATGAAATTTTTTAGTTATTTTCTTGAAATAGCGTTTGTCTTGGGTGTCCTTACAACAACTATATATATCCCTTTGTTGCCTTCACCTACCTTTGCTCAGCCTCTAATAAATAAAAACAGTTTTGGTTTTAAAAAGAAAAAAGGATCAGAAAAGGAGTTTCATTGTTGGCTCCACAGTTCTTCCCATAACTTGTCTTTGTTTTAAACAGAATCTTTCATTCAATACCATGGGAGGCTGTGCGAGCACACCAAAGGAGTCTGATATCCTTGAAACCGCTGCCGTGACTGAAAACGTCGTCGTGGAGTCCAAGAATGTGGAATCCGAAGCCGTTTCTCAGGTTTTGTGGATCAACTATCATTTTGGTTTTCGTCATTTGGTTTCTGACCTAAATAGCTAATGTTTTGGGTGATTCTTTTTCTTGTTTCCTGGCGATTTACAGGAGAAGGCAGATGAAGTTGTTGCAGAGAAGAAGGAAGAGACTGCTGTAGATGAAGCAGAGACACAGAAGGAAGCTGAGGCAGCCAAGCCCGTCGATGCTGAGGCAGCTCCAGAGGCTGTGAAGACCGAAGCAACTGTCGAAGCTGTTGATGAGACTGAGCCACCAAAACAAGAGGAGGCTGCACCAGCCAGTGACGCCAAAACCAGTGAAGAGCCTCTTGTAACCCTTTAATTATCAATTTCATTCCCTAAAATTTTAATTCCCTGTTGTTATCAAACTGTATATTTGTATGTTTCTCACCACTGTTGTATTACTATTGTTGTTACATGCACCTTATGAAACGACCAACTTGTTGTGATTTGTAACCTCCTCACAGTATCACATTTATGTGCTTATGTTTCTAATATCCTAGCAAGTTCTTTTTGGTTTTTGGTTCGGATTTTGGATATTAACATTTATCTAGATATTTAAAAAATAAATCAGCTTTGGATTCATATAAAACAACTAAAATTGGTTTAAATATATAACTAAAATAATTAATTTTGAATGCATAGTTGTTTCGAGTCAGAGTCGATTTGAATATTTAGTATATTTATCTGAATTTTTATAAAACAACTAAAAATTACTAATAATTGAAATAAATCTTTTAAATTATTAATTTAACATTTACAATTTTTTATTCCTTAAAAATATTATATAATTAATAATAAAGATTTCAAACAAAAAATATAACAACTTAATCATAAACTAAAATATAGAAAGTATAACACATAGAGTCATAAAATATTCATGTTTTGAGACTGATATGAATAAATTTTTATTGGACTGAATTTATCTGGTTCAATTCTTTTCGTGTTTGAAATTATTTATATAAATATTTTTTGGATCAGATTCTTCTAGGTAGAAATATTTTAGACCTGTCTAAATATTTGTAAATTTTCTAGGTTGATCGAGGTCCTAATTTCCAGTCGAGATAAAATAGCTAAACCGACTAAAATATTTGAATAATTAAAACTATGAAAAAACAAATCGGATTATCAAAAGTAAAATGTAAAAATCCAAAATACCAAAAAACATTAGTCAAATTTACAGTATTTTTTTAATTTATAAAATAGGGCAACTCTTCAAAATACTACATTCCTAAGTTTATGTCATAAAATTAGTCCTTAAAAACTAAAATGACCAAAATAGCATTTTATCTTTTGAATTTTTATTTTATTTTTCAAAAATTGAAATCATATCCCAAAACCTCACTTCTCAACTCTAAACCCTAAAACCTAATTCTAGACCCTAAACCCTAAGCTCTAAATCTTAAACCCTAAATCTCATCCCTTAACTCTAAACCCTAATGTCTAAATTAATTTATCATTGGGATATAAATGTATATTTTTCTCTTTTGATAAAATTTTAAGTGAGATTTTGATCATTTTTATTTTTAAGTGCTATATTTGTGACAAAAAGTTTTGTAGTGATATTTTAGTCATTTTTTCTTTAAGATATAAACAAGGAGATTTGTTTCCTATTTATAAATCGATCCTTCCCTGAAATCAAAAGGGGCTAAAAAGAATGAAGACTTTATCGATAACAGTCTGCAACTGTGCTCTGCTCGTTAGAAGAAGAAACTCTGTCGGAAACAGAAACAGAAACAGAGTAAATCTTAGTTACATCTCCTCTTCTTCTTCTTCTGCTCCGACTCTTATTTGCCGATCAAAATCAAAATCTCAAACGGATAGCTTAAGAGTGTTGGAATGGGACAAGCTCTGCGACGTCGTCGCTTCTTTCGCTCGTACTTCTTTAGGTCGCCAAGCTACCAAGGTTTCATCTCCTTTTTAAAAATAAAATATTTTCAGCTTCTCTGCTTTAAACTCACAATTAACATTGTTTGGGTTTCCAGAAAAAGCTTTGGTCTCTTGACCAGAGTTTCGATGAAAGCTTAAAGCTTCTGGAAGAAACAGAGGCTGCCATTAAAATGCTTGAACATGGTTCCTTCTGTCTTGACCTCTCCAGCATCCAAATCTCCCTGGTAACTTCACCCTTTAGTCCCTAAAGTGATGATAATCAGTTTTGATGTAATACTGATTTTTGTGAAAGGTTGAGTTGGGGATTCGTAATGCCAGGAGGAAGATGTCTTTGCGAGCAGAGCAAGCGCTTGAGGTGGCTTCTCTTCTTAGATTCTTTGAAAACTTGCAGCTTGATCTCAAAGCTGCTATTAAGCAAGATGGAGACTGGTACAAACGGTTCATGCCAATATCTGAAATGGTATTTGCAGTTTTAGCTCCTCTTTTTAAACTTCAGCATTGTGCTGACGCCCTTATGTACTGTTGTTTCATACGCAGATAATGCTACCTGTAATTAATAGATCGTTTATCAAGTTGGTTGAACAAGTTATAGATATTGATGGAAAAATCAAAGATTCAGCGGTTTGTTTTCTCACTCTCACTCTTTTGAATATAGCGTGTCAAGAGGAATGATCTTTATGTTAAGTCATCTTTTTATTGTTTCAGAGTAGTGACCTGAGACTATCACGTGAAAGAGTGCAGACACTTGAAAGAAAGGTCAGCTTAGCTTAGATTGCCTAATAAAATATGAACAATTCTCCAAATAGTATCTTACTGATATATATATATATATATATATAGATTGTCTAAAGCCTTCCTATTGTCTCTTTTCAGCTGCAACAACTGTTGGAAGCAATTGTAAGGAGCCAAAAGGCTACTGAATCTGTCATGGTAAGCATTCCCTTAACATGACTTTAGAAGAAGGAGCAAATCTTCATTTTTTCTGAAGTTGGCCCTATTGATAAATTCCAGGTAGTAGCTGAAATTGATGGAAGATGGTGTATACAAACGAGCTCGAGCCAGCTAACTTCTGTTGATGGTCTTCTGCTTTCCAGGTAAAATTGAATTTGCAGTTTTCAGATACAATTTAATCTTTTGGATTTTAGCAAACTAGCTGAACTAAGACCTCATTATCATTTAGCAAGCTGTTCTTTTATCATCCAATTCTATCCTTTTGAAGGTAATATGTGTCACAGTGGTTCAGGTGGAGGTACTGCTGCGGAGCCAATAGCTGCGGTCTCTATGAACGATGAACTCCAAAGTGCAAGAGCATCTGTTGCAAAAGCTGAGGCAGAGATTCTTTCAATGCTAACTGCAAAGGTAATTGAATATTGATTTCAAAAAGTTGAAACTCTATATACCTTTTTTGCTCATTTTGGTGCAAGCAATACAGATGCAAATGGATCTTGATCAAATCGAGGATGTGATGAGATACTCAATAAAGCTGGATGTGGTAAGCATGCTTTGTCTCACTTCCATGAAAACAAATTTCTTGCAACATGAGCTTCCAAAAAAGAAGATCTTACAGTGTGTTTTCTTCCTTTGTTAGATAAACGCTCGAGCAACTTATAGTCGTGCATATGGTGGTGCACATCCTGATATATACTTACCACCTGAAGATGGGGTTGAATCTGAATCTTTGTCTGCTGGAGAACAGTCATTGGAGAAAAACTTCTCAGGTGAGGAATCGCTTCCTAGAAAAGAATGGTTACTGTATCTACCTAGATGTTATCATCCTCTATTACTTCACCAACACAAGAAACGCATAAGAAAGACGCAGGAGGCTGTAAAATATCATAAAACAGTAAGTTTTCCAATGATCATCACTAGATTAGAGGATGCATTTTAGCTAAAGTTGTTAAGTACATGGTTGATTATTTTTTCAGGCAGACACAGTATCTGGAGCTCCGCCAATTCCAGCTGATTTTCAGATCTCTAAGGGCACACGAGTGTTGGTCATTACTGGTCCAAACACAGGAGGTAAAACCATTTGCTTGAAATCAGTTGGACTCGCTGCTATGATGGCAAAATCAGGTAAGTCATCTGTTCTTCTGTTATTTGCTTCTGTGTTTTCAATACTACACCAAATGATGATTGCAATGCGTTTTGTTAGGTCTTTATGTTCTATCATCTGAATCTGCACGGTTACCTTGGTTTGACAACATTTATGCTGATATTGGTGATGAACAGTCCTTGCTGCAGTCACTTTCTACCTTCTCCGGTCATTTGAAGCAAATTAGTGTAAGTCTGTTTCTCTGTCGCTGTTATGCCCTTTCACAGTTAAACCGATGTCTCCTTATCTCAGTTCTTTTCTTACTGTTTAACTTGCAGGAGATTATCTCGCATTCAACAAGCAGATCACTTGTGTTGTTGGATGAAGTAAGTTAAAAGATTGGACGTATATTGTAGTGATCATCTGCTTGGAGGAATCTGGTTTAAACTGTTGGTGCTATCTACAGGTTGGAGCAGGAACAAATCCGC